TAATCTGAGTATCATAAATAAAAACATACGCGATGTATCCCAAATCATAATAAAATACTGTGCGGAAAAAACTGTATCATACTATATCAAATCAAGACAACTAAAACCATCCCCAGGATAAAAGCTAAGTTGTGGTGTGTGCGATGCTATCACCCCGAGCTCTTCCCTTTGCTTGCGGAAGTACCTGAAACCAAAACTGAAACTGTAAGCACGAAGCTTAGTGAGCTCCCCCAAACTACCACATACCATACAGTATCATATAAACACATATTGGGCCTGGCCCACTGCATCGGGCGAAGCCCGGAAACTGCATCGGACCGAAGTCCGGAACTGACTGGGACCTTGTCCCCTGCATCGGACCGAAGTCCGGAACTAACTGCATCGGACCGAAGTCCGGAACTACTGCATCGGACCAAAGTCCGGAACTAACTGCATCGGACCGAAGTCCGGAACTATCTGCATCGGACCGAAGTCGGAACCGACTGGGACCTTGTCCCCTGCATCGGACCGAAGTCCGGAACTGACTGACTGAACATGGCATAGCATAACACATCATCTAGCATGAACACATATACTGCATACTACATCGGGCCGTAGCCCGGAACACATAACACTTAACACATAAAACATAGCATACAAATCCTGTCTGAGCCACGAAGGCATCAAACATACTAGCTACTGCATCGGACCAAAGTCCGGAAACTACTGCTAACTGAACGGGCCGGCATTGTGGCCTTAGACCCGTCCCTACTGGAAGGAAACTCACCTCGTAAACTGGCTGCTGAGTGTGTGGCTCTGGAAGCTAACGGCTGCTGCTCCTGTATCTCCCCGGCTACAAGTCCATAAACACACTCAATCAAATACTAAACACTGCACTTGGGTAAAATGACTCTTTTACCCTTGGTCAAAGTTACTCTCATTTGGACTGACTCGCCGAGTTGGGCCACCCAACTCGCCGAGTCCTACTCTCACTTTTCAATCCTACTCGCTGCTACTCGTCGAGTATGGCATCGACTCGACGAGTACCCTCTTGATCCAAGAACTCAGACAATCTTCATCCGACTCGCCGAGCCGTATGAACATACTCGACGAGTTGTTCTTGATCTTAAGAAGATTGCCTTGGACTCGCCGAGTTGTATGAACAACTCGCCGAGTCCCTCCATTACTGAGTCTACCTTCAACTCGCAGAGTCCACTCTCTAACTCACTGGTTCCACTCAACACTGCTAAAAATGAAGGAATCGGGGACTCGCGACTCAACTCGCCGAGTCGTTCTTCCCGACTCGCCGAGTTGCCGCCATGCAACTGTTTTTCACCCGATTTTGCTTGAATCCAACACATACAAATGATAGATCTGAGTCCAATAAGCTGGTTTACCACGTAAAGTTTCCAACTTTACGTGTACAACACATGAATAAGGGAAAATAAGGCTAAAAGATGCATAAAAGGGATAGATCTAGGGTTAATATGCAAAGTATCCTCATAAAGGCAATAGATCTGGACTATGGGACTTCTCAATGAATAGATCCAAGGTTATCTCGGCTTATTAGGGCGTTCATGAAAGCACAAGGCTTGGAACAAGCATCAACTAGTTCTTAGAAGAGTTCTAATGGAGGTTTAAAGCATAAAACAAGAGGGGAATCCGAAAATACCTCCAAATAACTCAGATTTGCCCTTGGATCTTGCACAACTCTTCTTCTCCTTGCTCCTTTCTTCTTCTCCTTCTTCAAGCCTTCACAAATCACACAAAATCACTTATAAACTCTCAAGGATGAACTAGGGTTTTTCTCACAGTGTTCTCAGGGTGAAGGAGG